CGGTTTTTGGCCGTCCGTCGAGTCGCCGGGTGTCTCTGAAACCGGCCAACGCGGGTCAGCTCGGGTATTAATCCACGTAGACAGATGTCCGGGACTGTTCTACTTGTCGGCGAAGTAGTGTCTCTACATTGTTTTGCGAGCACCGGGGGCCAGCGAGCCGCCGCCGGACTATAATCGCCTGCTGATGTGCTCTCTCTGCTCGCCGGCCGGCATCCCCTTAAATCCCTTTTCGTCCCGCGGATCCCGTTCCGGGAACGGGATCGTCTCATCTGTACCACCGTTCATTTTCTACGGCTCGAACGGAGAGCGAACGTCAACGTCGCCATCCGACCCGACACGGAACGGATAGACGGGTCGCCTTTTCACCTCGCGAGAACGAGGCTGTGCGCTTACCACCCGGAGACGATTAATCAGAGGCGTCCGAGCTCGCATGTAACCCGGACCCCTAACCCCTCGAGCAACGGATGTATGAATAATGGTGGAAGCTGCCGAAGAGCCACGGGACTGGACGCAACGGAGTTTCCTCGAAGAATAACGCTCTCCGCGTGGCGCAAGGCCGTGAACCGACCGGGATCTATTAATCAACGGGTGGGGGCTGCGTTCCACGGGCCCCCGGCGGAGAAACATTTTCGGCGGCCGGTAATTGCGTTCCACGGTTAATCCGCGAGCTTCGGGAAGTGTTTTTGCCGGGCCACAATGGAGCTTTAACGCGATGATTAATGAAGAACGATCGGTGATAACTCGTGACTCGTTTAATTAGGCTGGTTGTTATTAAATCGGGGGATTTATTGGAGAGTTTAGCTCGCTGAACCTGCGAAGAGAATTGTTATTTTGTTGCTGGCTGAGCTCTGTTGATCTTTGGAAGTTGTGTTAGACAGAAGATAGTAGTATACGAAGTAGCTTTGAGAGTTTGAAGTAGTGTTTATAGAAGTACAACCCCATTAGAAATTCTTCTACCAGGATCGGATTAGAGAGAGTAGTTTCTGACGTCCTATATTCTTTGTATTAAGGTACAGCGTGTATGCGATTAATTTAAATATATCGATCGTTATGTAGAGGATATCGATTTGGAACGAGAGAAGTTGCAGCTTCTTTTTATTAATCCCTTGCCCTATAATAGGAACATTCAATCTTTTATAACCAAATAAAGTTCTATTATTTTATTCTAGTATGAACATAATTCGTTTTTATAACCGACTATTAATTTTAAGATAGTTTGGTGTGTAATATTTTGAATGAATATATAAGGCAAGGAGATTAGTAGTCAGAATAGAAAATTTTACTAATTTAGCATTAATATTCAACCCCCACCACAAAGAATTCAAGTTTTTCCTCATGCTTCACCACTAGACTGCGGATTTCATGCACTTATAGCAGAAATAAAATTGAGAAAATGAAATACGTCGCTCTATAGACTTCAGATTGATCTGAGTTTAATTAATCAATTTCTTTTTAACCTCCATTGGAGAAACTCCACCCCCGAGGATCGGAATACGCATAAATATCCGCAGTCTACTCCTTAGTTCCGTCGGTAAAAGCTACGGTCGCGTTATCATCTCACGATAAAAGAATTATTTTACAAAAGTAAGCGATCTAAACTCTGAAGAGTAATTGTCGAATTACGAATGTTTGTGTAGATGCGAATTTCCATGAATCAATCCATTGAAGCCAAAGTTGAATCCTTTTGCAAGGGACGAAAATCTCCTTTAATTTTCTCGAACTACTTTTCAATTTACATCCCACGAAGCTAGCTCTGCTATAATGCACAAACACCCCTATACACCACTGAAAATTCAGAGATTTTGACGATTGATTTTCCTAAAGTTATCTTTGCTACAAATTCACTAAGATTCCTATTATGTTAATACCATTTCCTTTAGTAAGTACTATTAAATATTTTTTAGTAGATAGTACAGGTACATTTATAGTGAGTTTCCAGTAATCAGTGAAAGTTCCATTCCGATTGAATTTTGCAAAGTTGTCTCTGCTACAAATGCACAAAGATTTCTCTTCTGTTAATATCATTTCTTTTAGTAGAAATAATTGAACGATTTTTTAGTAAATAATATAGGAATATTTATAACAATTTTCGAGACCATTCCGTTTGTTATTCCAGTTAGTAAGGATCGCCGATATCAATCGCGATACTCGCGAGATACACAGGCCTCGCGGTTCCGGAAATCGAGCTGACGTCTGCGGGCTAACGACCATGAAACCCAATTACATTCTTCGACGTTCAAAGCGTCGCGGTGTCCTTTGGTCCTTGCCCTTCGCGCCTCGTTTCAATCCGGAGACCGTGGTCCCTTATTTCCTGATTAGCCGTGGGGAGTGGACACAATTTCCACGCGTGCACGGAAATTCGCGAATCCGAGGACCGGTCTACAGTAAATTCCTCAATTGAGCGGAAAACTGATGGATGTTGCGCTCCTCGTCGCGGACGCGTCGCTTCTGGCGATTTTTTGAGCGACGGTCGTCCACTTAACACGTTGACTGGTAAAATAACTTGTGCAGCGGACGTAAACAGAAAAACAACCCTTAAAAATTACCCCGTAAATTAATAATATATAATCTTGGATCTTAAAGAAAATATAGGATCTTTTAGAAAATAATATTTAGTTCTATTTTATTTATATTTTACATTCGTTCTATAAAATAATAAAGTAAATCATTTTGTTTAGAATCGAATATGCCGTTATGAAAATGAAACAACTCATGAACTAAATTAAATATATTATAAAAGTACTTGAAATTTGAATGGTAAAAGCTAATAATGAGAATTTAGCAGTCAACGTGTTAATAA